TATATATATACATATAATTCTCTATTAATGATTGATATTTATAATACACATAAAGTTATTATTTATATATTTATCTAGAAACGTGATTAAAACATCTTGGATATTGATGTAGCTTTTAAATAATCCTTAAAATTTAAAAAATATATCAAACTTATGATTTTCTGGCTTAATGAAATATATGAATTTTGAACCTAATGTTTTATTTATTCTGTAGTGAAGTCGGTTTTACTGATGCTGGAAATTATACTTGTATTGTTACTAATAAATATGGAACTGCAAATGCATCTGGAACTCTAACTGTCAAAGGTAATGGAAATAAAACATGTATACATTTTAATTTTATAATACTTAAAATGATTTATTTTTGTGTATAGAACATACAAAAATCACAGCTGAACCAGAAGATTATGAGGTAGTTGCTGGATCAATGGCAACATTTCATTGCACAGCTACTGCCGATCGTTCTTTACATCTTAACATTGACTGGTTAGCTAAAGATGAGCCTATTCATTTTGACACTGAGCCTCGTTTTGTCAAAACTAATGATTATTCCATGACGATAACTAAGACTAATGAATTAGACTCTGGAATGTATACATGCTTAGCTAGAACAGAGTTAGATCAGGCTACTGCTAGTGCTATGCTTGTTGTACAAGTAAGTTTCTAACTATTCACTGATATTTTAACTAAGAATTTGATAAGGCTTACTTAATTGTATTTATTTTCTAAATTATTTAGGACAAACCGAATCCACCACAGTTACTAGGGATCACTTGTAATAAAAAAGATACAGCTGTAAAGTGGCAACCAAAAGGAGATAATCGTTCACCTATTTTACGTTACATTATTGAATACAATACCACCTTTGCTTCTGATAGTTGGTCAGTTGCATCAGATAACGTTCCTGCATCTGATCAAACGTACATTGTTTCAATGACACCATGGGCAAATTTTACATTTCGAGTAATTGCCGTTAACAAAATTGGTAGATCACAACCATCATTACATTCAGCGGTTTGCACAACACAACCTGATGTACCATACAAGAATCCAGAAAACGTTGAGGCTGCTGGTACAGAACCTTCTAACCTTGTTATTAGCTGGACGGTGAGTGTTATTATAAATTAAAATCCATTTTACTATGATCTCACTATTTCACAAAAAAAAAAAAATTATAATGAAAAAATGTTAATGCTTTTAGCCAAT